GCCCTCTGGGCAGGGCGTCCATACACAGAGTTCCACATGCTTGAGCCTTCTGCTGAGAATGTCTGCCTCCAGGCCTGTGCACATCATCCTAGGGATGACAAGTCACCTGAGCAGAACCAGCACACTCTGTGCTCGAGGCTCCTCCTGCACTCCAGTGACCCCATCCTTTGTCACTGTCACCTCTCCCACATTCCTGAGGAGCAACAGGGCACATATTCTAGGACACACTCAGCAATCTCCACACCTCTCCAGCTAATGGGCCTCAAGGGCCTCTAATGGACATTGCACTGTGCTAGGTCAGGTGGGGCAAGGAAAAAACAGCAAACAGGATGGGTCTCTGCCCTCCAACTAGTTGGAATGAAAGGCAACGCCTGCTAAACGTCCAATAATAAAGTTGTGGGAACTTAGAAGATGGAGCTATTTGAAGAGAACGGACCTGGAAACACTCTACTTTGATCTGGGTGGTGGTTACACAGGTGTATGCAATGCAGAAATCCATCAAGCTGTACATTTAAGATGTGTGCACTTCATATATGTTATACTTTAATTAAAAAACAAAAGCATGTGACTGGCCTCAGCCCCATAACTCAGCAGAGAGTAGATAGGCCTAGTGGAAAGCAGAGGCAGGTGGCAGGAACACTGGGCAGGCCAGGTATGGTGGTGGCAGTAGAAAGGAGCCAAGGGGACTAACAGAACATCAGAGATGGATGGGATCAAGAGTGAGAGTTCTTAGATGGTGTCTGGCTACCACCAATGACTGCCCTGACAGGGAACACAACAGAGAGCCCCTGACTGAACATTAGAAAAGTGGGGTGCAGAACTCAAATTCATGCAAAAAGACCAGACTTAATGGTCTGACTGAAACTAGAGGAGCCCCAGAAGACATGGCCCCTGGACTCTGTTAACCCAGAACTAAAACCATTCCTGAAGCCAACTCTTCAGGCAAAGATTAGACTGAACTACAAAACATAAAATAATACTCATGAAGGGTGTGCTTCTTGGTTCAAGTAGATACACGAGACTAAATGGGCAGCTCCTGTCCAGAGGCAAGATGAGAAGGCAGAAAGGGATAGGAGCTGGTTGAATGGACACGGGAAGCCCAGGGTGGAAAGGGGGAGTGTGCTGTCACATTATAGGAATTGCAACTAGGGTCACATAACGATACGTGTGTGAATTTTTGTATGAGAAATTAACTTGAGATGTGAACTTTCACCTAAAGCACAATAAATAAATTAAAAAAAAAAAAAAGAGTGAGAGTTTTGGGGTATAAGAACCAGGGAAGCCCTCTGTTTATGGAGTAACCAGGGAGGACTGACACCGTCATGAGAAGTCCCTGTGTGTAAGTAGTTGATGGGAAAGTGGGGAAGGAATTTGTTGGCTTCTCTTAGGTTCTGATTGGGTGGGGACTGACAGTTGGAGAGTCCAGGGTCCCAGGAAACACTCAAGATTCTGAAAGGCGTGCCCTGGTAAATGACCTCAGACGGTGACCAGCAGCATCCAGCCCACAGGTCTGAGACCACCACCATCCCCAGTGTCTGATTTTCCCCAGGGCTGTCTGAGCAGAACAAACCCAGAGCCTGCCCCAGTCTAGATAGGGTGAGCCCCACCATTTATGTGGCCCAAGACCCTGTCTTTTGGGAGTATCTATGGTGAGTCTCCAGCTCAGAGTTGGAAGGGAAAAGGAATACCGTAGACGCTCAACCAATGGTGAGGCTAAATCTAGGTTACTCATTAAGCTAAGCAAGGGACTTTTCCACAACATCTCTAATAACTGGCTCTCCAGCATTTGCTCAAACATCCCCAGGGCGGGAATCTCACTACCTCACAGCAGTTCACCCCATTTTCATAAGTCCCAGTGCCAGGATGTTTTTCCTCTTATGGGGTTGAACATTGTCTCCCTTGCTCAAGGACATTCCTCAGAGGTCTAGGACATACTCTTGTCCCCCAAGGCTGCTCTTCCCTGCTCACCCAGCCTGGTTTTAATGCATACCTTCCTCATGCTGGCTCTTCTCCTGCAGCTGCTGACAGTGAGGGTCCAAAAAAGGATCACGACCCTTGAGGTGCAGTCTGAGCCAGAAGGAGGAACAGCCACCTCCTTTGACCTGTGTCCTGTGCCATTATTAATGCAGCTCAAACTTTTGAAGAAGCTACATGCAATGTTGTGGTTTTCATTTAGTTCATGGGGAAGAGCTTATGGGGAGCTCCCATTTCACAGGCACCTGACTTGGCTTCACAGAGCCACTGCCAAGGTCCCCTAGGCCCTGCCCTGTCAGGTCCATGCCCACCTCTTCCTTCACCCACCACACTCTGCCCCACTCATGATCTTTCTTTCAGTACTCCCAGTCAGCCCTCCAATTCCTACCTCGGGGCCTTTGCACATGCAGTAGGCTCAGCCTTGAATGCTCTTGAGTAGAACAGCACTATACGGTTTTATTGGATGTAATCTTTACAGAAGCAGATCACCAGGCCTGTTTCTTCTGTGGTGCTGCTGAGTGGGTTTGAACCACCAACCTTTTGGTTACCAGACAAGTACAAACTGTTTGCGCCACCCAGGGACATTTACTCTTCTGTATATTTGAGTAATTATGTGATCAAAGCCCATCGCTCCCACTAAATGGTTGAACCCATGAGAGCAAGGAACATGGCTGGTTCTGCTCCTCATTGTACCCCAGCACCAAGCATAGTGCCTGGTACAAAGTATATGTACAATGAAGATATATTGAGTGAATGAGTGAATGAAGCATCCTTGTTTATCTCATCTGGTTAGGCAAAACCCCTCAATCACCACATCACTCCATCTCACCCAGACTGAGCAAGGGGCTGCAGTGTAGACTGTGAGATTTGGAGACAGGCAGACCTGGGCCTGTGTTCTGGCCCTGCCACTTACCAGTTTGTGCCTTTGGTGCATGACTTCACCTCTCTGAGCCTCAGTTTACTCACCAGTAAAATGGGATGGTAACAGTACCCACCTCAAGAGGTGATGGATGGAATACGATCATGTATGCAAAGTCCTGGCACACAATGCTCAACACACGTGAGGCTCTTTTCCAGGATGCTTAGGAGAGAGGCATGTTCATATCCCAGTGACCTCCACCAGGCAGGGTTCTCATTACCTGAGTGGGGCTGGGGCTCACTCTGCTGCAGATACAGAGCAACTGGGAGGGGAGCAGCCTTGTCTCCCACATGTGTGGCTGCTCTCTGAATCACTCTAATCTAGTGCTGGACCATGCTTGCTCTCTGATGGCCTCAAGGCGCCTCCATCCTCATCCCTCACTCATAGCCACAGGGTAAGGGCACACTTGACTCTGTTTCTGACCAAGCAAGCAGAGGCTCTGAGAGCCTGCAGAGGCCATGCAGGACCAGCCTGTGGCCCCGGTTGCATGGGGCATCCCACCTCCCCACCCTGGCTGATTCAGGCCTGGCTACTACCCTTCATTTGCAGCCAGACCTCACAGGACACCAGTATGAGCTCAAAAGGCTTGGTGACTCTGGCACTGCACCAAGCCTGCTGGGGAGAAGAGTCCAACTTCTTAGCCCTCCCTGTGCCTTGGTCAGCTCACTTAGAAAAGGGTTCCTTTTTTTAATGCCCTCTTTCCTGGAGCCACCACCAGTGATGAACAGAGAAAACCCTGACATGATCTGAAAAGTCCTTCTAAGTGCAAACTCTGCACACTAGTGGACCCTGGCTGCTTCACTGTGGCTTCACCGTGAGATTCTTGGCCAAGCCCAAGTCTGGGCAGAAGGGAAGGGGGCACCTACTCCTGGGCCATCAGAAAAGTAACTCTGTCCTCAAGTTATTGACATTGAAGCACCAGTGAAACCCCTTGGAACAGCTTCAGGACACATTCAAAGTTACAAATTGAGCCTTTCCAGATACTTTCGAGGCTCAGTGCTGGCCTCACCTCCTCAGATAAGCCTTTCCTGCCTGCTTGGGCCCACCTGGACCCTTCCTCCTAAAATTAGATCCCTTAGCTTTGGGATCTGCGGAGTCAGGCTCTTCCTGCCTCCACCGGCTATGTCCAACCTCCTGGCCAGACTGAGGATCTTGGTCAGATGTGCCTTCTGGACCCAGGCCTTTGCACATACTGTACCATCTACTACTGCCCTCACTGCTCTCTTTACTAACACCTATACCTCCTCTAGAATTCAGACCAGAGAGAATTTCATCCAGGAGCCCCTCTTGATTCCTCCTGCAGACTGGAAGGGTGTCCTGCTGGGTTCCTTTGATATCCTGGACTTACTGACCTCTATAGGTGTAAAGGAACCCTGGGTTGGTCTATCTGTTCATTTGTCTACTTTACAGACATAGAAGAGCCTTGTGGGCAAGGCTGGGCATTAGGCCAGGACACTGTCTGGAACATAGCTGCTATGGAAATGTGTGCTGGAATCTTAACCCCTATACCTGAGGATATAATTTCATTTGGAAATAGGGATTTCTCTGTTATGTTAATGAGTCATAATCACTTCAGAGTCATAAAAAGAGCAGATAAGACAAGGCGTAAGCACAAACAGTGGATTGAAGATAGATGACATGTGAAGATAGCCATGGAACATAGGAACGCTGGGGCTATAAAAGCTGAGAGAAACACGGATCTTTCCCTAGAGTAAACAGAGAGAGAAAGCCTTGCCCTATAGCCAATGCTCTGAATTCAAACTTCTAGCCCCCTAAACTGTGAGAAAATAAGTTTCTGTTCTTTAAAGCCACCCACCTGTGGTATTTCTGTTACAACAGCACTAGCAAACTAAGGCTACAGGATTTGAAAAAGTGAACGACTGAACTAATGAATGAAGAAACATAATCAGCCCTTGATTATTGAGCAACAGTTTGCAGAGGCCTCAGGCTATTGTACTTATATGAGCCCCCCCGCCGCCCCCCCACCCCCGACAGACTGGTCATCCTGAGGGCAGGGACTTTCCTTCCCTTGTTCGCCCTGTCAGCCTTCGGCCTGCCCAGGACTGTGTGCACGCAGGTGGTGCCATCCACCTGGCTGGCTGACCCGAGGTTAATTTCCTGCCCATCCCACTTGTGATGCAATTGTCAAGAGGACTTCAAAGGCCATCTGAGCTTTGGCCTGAGCCACCTATTGTCTGTGCTGTGGCCGCTGACTCACCCCTGGAAGGTCAGGCTGACTGGTGAACATAGCAGGAACGAGCTGCACGTCAGATCCTCCGAGGCTCACAAACCCTCTACACGTGGGTGTTCGCACACACCTTCTGCCCCAACCTAGAGTATCCCCACATCCCAGACCACCTCAGCCCTTTCTGGGGACCAGAAGGATGGAGCTAGGGCCACAGCAGGATCTGTAGACCAGAGGGGACAGTTGTGGCTCCAGGATGGCTGCCATCCAATTTCTCAGTGTTCCTGTTCAACAATCTAGAAATGGGGCAACTCACTGAATGACTTTTTCTACCTAGAAAAATCCCACCAAAGCCTTGACCTTGGCTACCACCCCACTGGAGGTCCAGGAAGATCAGAGAAGGCTATAGAAGCCTTCAGGGTGAGTGGAGCCTCTATCCTGCCCTAGCCCCTCCACCTCACACTCACTTGCCCTCCCCAGACACTGCTTGCATGCCAGCCCTGGGAGAGGCCATGCAAACACTACAGGGACAGTCTGGTAAATGGTCTGTCACACTCCAAGAACAAAGGCCTCTAGCCCCATTCTCTTCAGTTGACCTCGTGCCTTCCAAAGGTCCTGGGCCCTAGGAGGCAGCATGACCCACAGACAGAGCCAGGCCTTCAAGCCAGTCAGAGATTCCGCTCTTACTAGCTGTGGGATCTGGAGAAAGTTAAGTAGCCTGTTTGAGCCTCAGTTTCCTCATTTGTCAAATGGAGATAATAACCACCTGAGGGTTGCTATGAGGATTCTGTTATAAATAGTGGCTGTTCCTTCTCAGGGCATACTCCCCTCTAGTGCCCTGTGTGCAGGGTGACCATACATCCTGGTTTGCCCAAGACAGTCCCGATTGACACCTGTTGTCCTGTGTGTTTATTAATAGTGCCCCCTTCATTCTCAGAAGTGCCCAGTTTAGACAACAAAATACATGGTCAGTCTACTGCAGCCTTTTCTATTTCCAGTTCAGGGCTAGCCTGTCTGAGTAACACCATCCATTTCTACTCTCCTCTCTAAGAGGCCATGTCTTGGTTTGTCGTTTGGAGAATTTTTATACCCTTCTCTCTAAGCCTCAAGATCTCAGCTTTTAAACGGGGATAACAATACCTATCTTGCAGGATGGTTAGGAAGATTAAATGAGATAAGGTATGCAAAGAACAGTGTCTGGAACAGGCCTGATGTCAGATAAACATGAGCTCCCTCCCATGGCCTTCTTGTCCTCATTCCCATTATGACAATTTTCCCAGATAACCCCAGCCTGAGAGTGGTACTCTGGAGCTCAACTTCACCCCTACTAGGAAAGCGATTTTCAGAAATCACTGGGACATAGGGGAGTTCCAGGTGATACAGAAGCTCCTAAACCAGGACCTGGACATGATCTCTCCTGAGAGCAAGAAATAATCTTCACTCCCACTCCCAAACCTCCACTGCAGGCCCTGAGGGACATCTCAGCTCTCCTTTCCTGTTTACATCCATGGGTTTCTGTGCTTGCTGGCTGCTTCCAAGTCTATCACTAGAACTGGAAACCCTTCAGCCTGCACCTATTTTTCCCAAATAGAAGCACCTTTGAACTCTCCCTCATCTTCCAGGAATCCAGGGGCCTGAAATGGAATCTGCTGGGCCTCTAATCCCTAGGAACCTGCTATCTGGGCCAGCAGGCAAAGGGTAACCATGTACAGTAATCTCAGCAGATAAAGCTACCATGAGACCAGCCCACTGGAGCAATAAGACAACATGCTCACAGATCACACCTGGGTTAGTATCATGACCTCCAAAGACCTCAAAGTTCAAATCTCCAGTCTGCCTTGGGCCCTCTACCCACCTACTCCCGACATTCCTTTGCTATTAGACAACTGGCAGCTCTGCTGGCCTGATACTTCCCATTGCCTTGCCCCAGGTCATATCAAACCTGGCTCGTGTGTATGTTGTAGAATATTTGGTTCCACCAGGAAGCTTTCGGTGTAAACAACCTGTCGATCACTGGGGTCTGACTCCAGGGCTCTTTGTTCAGAAGCAGTTGCGTGACATTTCTGATTCTTGTGCTGCCCTGGAAACCACAATAGATATACGAAGGAAGCTATGGGAGGAAAAAAGTAATGAAGCAGCTACTAAATGAGACTAAAAATACAGGTATCTGCTGGTGGTAGCGTGTGGGAAGAGGTGTTTCACTCAACTGATCACAGAGAGGTAAAGGCTAGTGAGGGTGGGGCCCTGACTTTGTGGTGGCAACAGCCTGTCTGGAGGTAGCTGTAGGGCAGAAAGAGAAAAGAGAAAACCCTGGCTCCAGGGTTGGCACTGCAAGGGTGTGTGGCCCTCAATATTCCAGCTATAAATGGAATTAAATATACTAGCTGACTCTGTCATAAAGAGAGCTGTTGTGGTAGGAGGGTAAAATGAGATCAAGGAAATAAAAACTCTTAGCAACACAGAGAACACATAACACATATACCTTTCCCAAATTTAATCTGAGGCTCCATGTGGCTCAATCTCGCAGTCACACTCGGAGAAGTACACACTGGCAAATAAAAGGAATTTAAAAGGAATTCCAATCTTTACTTGGGTCTCCTGAAGAATATTAAAGTGTGTCCAGCTGACAACTCTCAGTAACTTTCCTCAAAAGACCCTTTATTCCCTCCCCTCTCCGTCCACCATCTTATACCCTTAGACCCCGATCTGGGGTCTCTGTTAGGTCAGCTCCCAAACTGTACCCCAACTCCTGGCCAGTCCACATGGCTCTGCTCCAGCCTCTCCGCTAAGGCCCCTCTCAGCTCCTTATTATGTAGTTGACCAAACCTCTTTGCTCCTTGCTTTAGTTTCTCTCCCACATTACTCATTACTAGAATTTACCACAACAAAGGAGACTCTGGGACCAACCCAAAATATAAGATTTTTTCCCCCTTTCTTCCCATCTTCCCAGTTCTGAATCTCTATTCATTTTTCTAATTCCACACCACAAAATGCCCAGGAACCAAGAGGTTGGACTGAAAAATCCTACAAGGTCAGGAGAGAAAAATTTGCGGTAAGAAAGCAAAATTCTTTTGAGTGGGTGGGTCTGGGGACTGTTAATAAATCTCGCACCAACAAGCACACAATTGTCAGTAAGTTTCCCTTCCCCCACAAGCTACATGGACAGTGGCTTTTATAGTTTCCAATCATGTTGATTTTCCTTCAAATTGGCATTCACTTTTATACCACACCTCCCTTTCCAGGACCCTCACCCCCTCATTCAACAGAGATTTCCCATCTCTGCATGATGGCTTCCTCCCTGACTCCAGCCTCTCAGTTCTTTGATCTGTCCTGCATATACCACCCAACTGATTGTGTACCACAGCCCACATTCACCATATGCTTCCTCTGCTCAAGCACCTTCAGTAGCTCCCAACTTCTATAGCACATAGGAAACCCCATAGTTCCTATCTGAGGTATCCTATATCAAGCCCATGATACATCCTACATCATTCTTCAAATCCAGTTTTAACTACATTGGTCCTCCAATAAGCACCAGCCTGAGTTCTGCTCCCTCCAAGAAGCCTACCTGACTGCTTCTCACTTCTGAACTATGGCACTTAAAGAGTCAATGCCACATAACCACACTTGTTTTCGCTGTCAGTTTATGATCTTAATTGTTTGATAGTCTTGAGTCTCTTTCCCATAAGACTGTAAGCTCCTTGAGGTCAGGGACCTCAAAGGCTTATAAGGAGCACACAAAGTAAAATTAAAAACCAATTGCCGTCTAGTTGATTCTGACTCATGGCCACCCCATGTGTTTCAGAGTAGAACTGTGCTCCAGGGTTTTCAATGGCTGTGATCTTTCAGAAGCAGATCTCCAGGACTTTCTTCCAAGGCACTTCTGGGTGGATTTAAACCAGGATTTAAACCACCAACCTTTCAGTTAGTAGCTGAGCCCTTAACAGTTTGTGCCACCCAGGGACTCCAAGGAGCACACCAAATACCTGTTGCCATAGAGTCAATTCCAACCCACAGCAAGCCTACAGGACAGAGTAGAACTGCTCCATAGGGTTTCTAAGGCTATAATCTTTACAGAAGCAGGCTGCCACATCTTCTCCTGCAGAGCGGCTGGTGGGTCTGACTGCCAGTCTTTCAGTTAGCAGCCAAGCATTTAACTACTCCACCACTAGGGCTCCCTAAAGGAGCACACAGGGGCCCTCAAAAGTAATCTTCCTCTACTAATTCATGACAGGAAAAACAGACTCGTTTCTACTCCACAGGCCTTGATGACAGTCTCTGGATGCCCCTATCAAGTCATTTTTATGAACTTCTGGATGAAAGGCAGAAGTAATCTTTTTAAAATTTATGTATTTATTTATTTTGTGGTAGATAATATATTCATCTGGTTCAAAACTTAAAATGAAAAGTCTGCCCCACCTTTGTTCTTCAACCACTCAGTTCCCCTGCCAAGAGGCAACTCATGGACTTTGTTGTTAGATGCTGTCGAGTTGGTTCCAACTCATAGTGACCCTATGTACAACAGAATGAAACACTGAGCCATCCTCATTATCGTTGCTATATTTGAGCCAACCGTTGCAGCCACTGTATCAATCCATCTCATTGAGGGTCCTCCTCTTTTTCACTGACCCTCTACTGTACCAAGCACGATGTCCTTCTCCAGGGACTGGTTCCTCCTGATAACATGTCCGAAGTACGTGAGACGAAGTCTTGCCATCTTTGCTTCTAAGAAGCATTCTGGCTGTACTTCTTCCAAGACAATTTTGTTCGTTCTTCTGGCAGTCCATGGTACATTCAATACTCTTCGCCAACACCATAATTCAAAGGCATCAATTCTTCTTTGGTCTTCCTTATTCGTTGTCCAGCTTTCGCATGCATATGAGGTGATTGAAAATACCATGCTTGGGTGAGGCACACCTTAGTCCTCAAGATGACATCTTTGTTTTTTAACACTTTAAAAAACCAAACCAACGTTGCGGTCGAGTCAATTCTGACTCATAGTGACCCTACTGAACAGGGTAGAACTGCCCCATAGTGTTTCCAAGGAGCAGCTGGTGGATTCAAACTGCTGACCTTTTCGTTAGCAGCCAAACTCTTAACCACTGTGCTACCAGGGCTCCTTTAACACTTTAAAGAGGTCTTTTGCAGCAGATTTGCCCAATGCAATCCGTCGTTTAATTTCCTGACTGCTCCTTCCATGGGCATTGATTGTAGATCCAAGTAAAATGAAATCCTTGACAACTTCAATCTTTTCTCCATTTATCATGAGGTTGCTTATTGGTTCAGTTGTGAGTATTTTGTTTTCTTTATGTTAAGGTGTAACCCATACTGAAGGTTGTAGTCTTTGATCTTCATCAGTAAGTGCTTCAAGTCCTTTGGCTTTCAGCAAGCAAGGTTGTGTCATCTGCACATCGCAGGTTGTTAATGAGCCTTCCTCCAATCCTGATGCATGTTCTTCTTTATACAGTCCAGTTTCTCAGATAATTTGCTCAGCATGCAGACTGAATAAATACGGTGAAAGGATACAACACTGACGTGCACTTTTCCTGATTTTAAACCATGCAGTATCTCCTTATTCTGTTTGAGTAACTGCCTCTTGGTCTATGTACAGGTTCCAGATTTCTCAAGCTGAAGGAACTCAAGAAAAAAATTCAAGCCTCAAGTTGCAATACTGAAGGATTCTATGGGCAAAAAATTGAACAACGCAGGGAGTATCAAAAGAAGATGGAAAGAAATACACAGAGTCACTGTATCAAAAAAAAATTGGTTGACATTCAACCATTTCAGGAGATAGCATATGATCAAGAACCAGTGGTACTGAAGGAAGAAGACCAAGCTGCACTGAAGGCATTGCCAAAAAACAAGGCTCCAGGAACTGACGGAATACCAATTGTCTTAGTTATCTAGCGCTGCTACAACAGAAATACCACAAGTGGACGGCTTTAACAAACGGAAATTTATTTTCTCACAGTTTAGGAGGCTAGAAGTCTCAATTCAGGGTGCCAGCTCTAGGGGAAGGCTTTCTCTGTCAGCTCTGGGGGAAGGTCCTTGTCTCTTCAGCTTCTGTTTCCTGCTTCCTTGGAGATCTACATGGGGCTTGGCATCAATTTTCCTGCATCTCTGCTTGCTTAATCTTTTCATTTTATTTTGTAAGAGATTGACTCAAGACATACCCTACACTAATCCTGCCTCCTTAACATAACAAAGACAACCCATTCCCAAATGGAATTATAACCACAGGCATAGAGGTTAGGATTTACAAACGCATATTTTTGGGGGACACAATTCAGTCCATAACACCAATTGAGATGTTTCAACAAACGGATACAATGCTGGAAGCGCTCACTCGTCTCTGCCAAGAAATCCGGAAGACAGCTACCTGGCCAACTGACTGGAAGAGATCCATATATGTGCCTATTCCAAAGAAAGGTGATCCAATGGAATAAGGAAATTATCAAACAATATCATTAATATCACATGCAAGTAAAACTATGCTGAAGATAATTCAAAAACAGTTGCAGCAGTACATTGACAAGGAACTGCCAGAAATTCAAGCTGGATTCAGAAGAGGAGGTGGAACCAGGGATATCATTGCTGATGTCAGGTGGGTCTTGGCTGAAAGCAGAGAATACCAGAAAGATGTTTACCTGTGTTTTATTGATTTTGCAAAGGCATTCGACTGTGTGGGTCATAACAAATTACGGATAACAATGTAAAGAATGGGAATTCTAGAACACTTAATTCTGTTCATGTGGAAACAATGGACTGGTTTCTTGTTTATTTTTCAATAGATATTTGATGCATAAACAAGCCAATAAGAATATATTCTCCTTTCTCCCCCTACTTTTTTTTAACACACAAGCTAGCATAAAATACACATTGCTCTGCACCTTGAGTTGTTTTTTTTTTTTTTTTTGGTTCTGTTTTGTTTTTAACAATTTATCTCAGTAACCATCTCGTATCAGTACATAGAGAGCTTCCTCATACTTTGTTTTGCAGCTGTGTAGTGTTGCAGTGTATGAATGAACCCTAACTTATTTAACCAATCCTGTTGTTAGACAGTGAGAGTGTTTCCAGTTT